GGGGGTCAGTCAGGAGGAGGGCTGGGGGGTCAGTCAGGAGGAGGGCTGCAGGTCCAGACCATGCAGAAAGGCCAGGAAACACACGGGGGCTAAAATCCCACATCGCTTCAGTAAAATCTGGAGAGATTTCAGGGAAGACTATAAACACTGGCCCTCACCAACATTCATAAAGAAACATGGAGATAACTGTGTTAAAATTTCTGAAGTCACCAAGAACACAACTGCCCAGTGCCAGGCGGGAGGGAGCAGGTGCTGCAGAGCCAAGCACAGCAGGCAGGAGGCGCTGGAGGGCGGCCCGGGTCTGGCCAGATGGCAACGCCACAACAAACCAAGGGAATCAAATCTGATTACAAGGCTCTAGGTTTGGGCAAAACAACACAATTTCACAAGGAACTTTTCTCCTGTGGACAAGCAAGTTAATAAAAGTTAAAAAAAAAAACTTTTTGGTTTTATTTTTTTCCCCAATGATCCAAAAGAAGAAAACCAGGACACAAATGTGAGCACATCTGAGTATGTACGCAGTGTGAGAGGACGCCAGACAGAGCCCCAGTCTGCCCCACAGCAGACTCAGCAACGCTGGGCGGGATCAGCTGCTGAGAAGGGAGGCGCACTCAGAGGGAGGGGGGCATGTCCTGGCTGACAAGCTGACCCCCTGCAGACCACAGGCGTCTAGAAATAACACCTGGATAGACCATTCTTTAGTTCATTTGAAGGAAAAGAGATAATTATTTTCTTTTTAAACTTTACTAATTCTCAAGACAGAATTTTGTTTGTTTGTTTTGTGGTTTTTGGCCGGGGCTGGGTTTGAACCCACCACCTCCAGCACATGGGGCTGGTACCCTACTCCTTTGAGCCACAGGCACCAACCACAAGACAGAATTCAGCACAACACACTAGGAACCCTAAAGGTCTCACTGGACCCTGAGTTCAGATAGACGCAGAGAAAATGGAGGCCTGAGCGCAGAGGAGTTGTGCAGATGGGCTCTTGGAGACACCACCCAGACCACAGCAGCTCCTGTTCTGATAGCCAGAGACAAATGCTGAGCTCCAGCCGTGCCAGGACAGGACAGCATGGCTCACACAGGTGTGAGGACAGATCAGAGGGTAAAGGCAACACCGTGTGCTGGCTTCACGTGCCAGATACGTGTGTGCATATGTTCAATGCTATAGTGTCCCCTGTAGAATTTACTAAACAGATGGCATCTGATAAATACAAAAAGTACAAGCACAAAAAATATCATTCTTAGAATTACCCCACTTGGCGTGGGAACTGGGCAAACTGACTTTCCTAACATTTAGGTGGCTCATGTACAAAATTATCTCCCAAACTACACAGCACCTTAGGCCAATCACACGAGATAATAAAATGGGAAGCATAGGTTTTGCCAAGGGTTAAAGTACTCCAAAAATGCTATGCCATTTCAGTGAAAGACCAGCTATTAGCTGCACATTGAGAGAAATTATATAATAAACATGATGTAATTCCACAGCATGCAGTCATTTGAACTGATGCAGATCTCTGTTTAGTAAGTTATATATACCGAGAATAAACTTGGCTGGAGGGACATTAAGCAGACTACAACATTGTACATAGCACGATATCATGTTAAAAAATTAAAATCCCTAGGACACCAGTGCATCAGCAGGGTTGAAAGAACACAAGTGCTAGAGTGAAGAGTTGCGGTGTGCGGTGACAGCACAAGTGGGTGTTTCCTTTATCGTGCCTCTCGGAATTTATCTTCCAAGAGTACACAGGGCTTCATAATCAGAAAATACTATTTTTAAATCTAGTTTTTGCTGAGCTTATGCTGTACACGGCCAGGTTAAAGGACTCTGACTAGTAAACTAATTTACCACTAAATTAACACCTAGTTAGTAAACCCTGAACCAACAAATGGACAATACCTCCTCCTTCTGTCTCCCCAGTGGCTGACACAGCAGAGGGGACCGTCTGGTGCCTCTTCATGTGCTTTTTACAATGGACGGTGGTCCGGAACCCCTCCTCACAAAAGGGACACTTGTAGGGCTTCGTGCTCATGTGAGTGGCCGTGTGCCGTGTGAGGCTGCCGTTGGTGGTGAAGGAGGCGCTGCAGACGCTGCAGCTGAACGCCTTTACTCCTGCGGCGACAGAAACGACAGGAAATGGGGCCGGGAAAACTGTCTTTCTTTACCTTAAAACTATAGCGGTCAAGAGCAAACAGAGATATGTTCAGCAAGTCACAAAACTGAAGACACTTTATCTCCTATATATAGACTCGGATTTCCAGTTGGGTCTAAGAACATGGAAATGGACACAGCACGTCTCACTGCTCGCTACTGAATCAACAGCCTCTAGGAAGCCACGTTTCTCAAAACAAGGCAAGTCCTCTCTGCTTCCATCTTTCAGTTAAGTGACAGCAGGTTAGTGGATTCTACTCCAGAAGTATTTTTCAAACCCATCTTTTCGTCATTCCCACAGCAAATAATGTAGATCAGGCCCTATCCTAAAAAATAGACTAAAACCTACATATAACACAGCCTTACTTTCCAAATCCACAGAGAGTACCCTCTCTCCTTGGCTCCAATGACACAGAAGTAAGTGCCCAGCTCCCCTCCCTGTCTCTCTCCCGGAGGCACCTGCTGAAGGCTGTGCTGGGCTCCCTCCACCTCCCAGCAGCACCTACAAGCACACTCAAGTTCCTCGCAACCATTCTTTCCAACAGCCACTGAAACCACCTCCCAATCTCCAACCTATATACTAGTTGATAAAACTTCTCCCTCTTTTGTTTGCCTGTATATTTCTAAGTGATACGCTTTCAGTTTCAAATAAAGCCTTTTGCAAAATACACACTGACATTGAATATATATGTGTAATTAATATACCGAATATATTAAATGTATTAACAACTAAAAGTAATACATTAAAAATATATTTAGGTGCAAACCATATATCTGATAAAGGTTGGTAGTCAGAATGTATTTAAAAACACCATTTGTAACTCAATAATAACTAAACAAAAAATCTTATTTAAAAATGGGTACAGAGGAAGAATGGGCATTTCTCAACAAGCACATGCAAAGATGTTCAGTGTCACTGCCACTGCAGAAAAGCAAATCAACACCACAATGAGATGCGACGTCGCACCCATAAGGACAATCACCAAAAAGACATGCAGGTGTACACGCTGGCAAGGATGTGGAGAAATCAGAACCCTCTGACACCGCTGATGGGCATGTAAAATCGTGCAGCCACTTTGGAAAAGTGTGATTAACTCGGAAGTTTTAACTGAGGTATCTTATGTCCAAACAATGTCACTCCTAAGTAAAGAAGTGAAGACATGTGCACACAAGCCTGTACACACACCTTCACAGCAGGATGACTTACAGCCAAGAAAGAGAACAAGCCAAATGTCCATCAACGGATGAACGGATAATAAAACATGGCACGTGCTACTTGTCCACAGAATGAGAGGAGGCACTGACACACACCACACAACACAGTGAACTCCGACACTGCCCCAGGAAAGAAACCAGGCAACAGTCCCCACGTCAGGTGAGCCATTCTGTGAACCGTCCGGAGCAGGCAAGTCCACAAGGCAGAGATGGACCAGCGTTTGTCCAGTGTTGCGGGTGCTGAAGGGAAATGGGGAGTGAGTGCTAATGGGTGCAGAATTTGGGGGGTATGATAAAAAGTCCCAAAACTAGACAGGGGTGATGGCTGAAGAACTCTGTGAACACACTAACACCACTGAACTGTGCTTTTTATGTAGGTGAACTGAATAGTATGTGCGTTTATAGCTCAATAAAGCTGCTTCATTAAATTGTTTTTAGACCATACGAGAGACAGAATCGTCAAGTGTGAGGCAGACAATGACCTGTGTGTGTCTTCTCGTGGGACTTGAGGACCCCGGAGGAGACGAACCCGCGCCCACACAGCTTGCACTTGTAGGGCTTCTCCCCTGTGTGGGAGCGCACGTGCTGCTTCAGATGGCTGGACTTCTTGAAGCCTTTGCTGCAGTAGTCACACCTGCAAGGCAACACAGGGCTCAGGCCGGCGCACAGCACAGCTGCACGTGGCATCTGCGGTGGGGATGTAGAACCAGCAGACGCCACCAGCACCACCAGCATCCAGCCTCCACTGTTACAGAGCCCAGGGGGCTAACGCTTACAAAATCATAAAACATAAAATATTAGCAACGACACTGGGTAGATCAAAGTCTGCTTGAGAGTATTTGTAGTCCTGAATGTATTATTTCAAAATTAGTAAACCCTGTAATAACAGGTCGCTAGCAGACATAATATATGAGTAATTAGACGTTTTTCTAAACAGAAAGAAAATTTATTCTGTGCTACTTTCTTTGCTAAGTCATTAGACACATGAAACCTCCCATTGCCTTAGAGTCAGAATTACTGCTGAGTCTACCTGCCAAGTCACACATTCCTTTGGTTTATAAAATTAAAAACAGATCGTACAAATTAATATATAAAAATATGCAGCATTATTTCCCCTTTAATTATTTCTGAATAGATTAAAATTACTTTAACAATTAAAATAATTACAAATTTCAAAATTCCTCTTCACATATTACTGAAAGTTAGTCCACTGAATAAACCCCTGTATTTTCTGTTTCCAAGTTTTCATCTCCAACAGAAAGTCCCCACACAATAGCCTCTGTGCAGACTGGGTGTCTGCAGAGACATTCCTCTGAAAGACTAAACTAAAGGCTGAAAACTGCAAATACATTCTGAAATTTCACTCCTATGTACGCATTTGGTTTCGTGAAACTATCTACTAAAAACAGAAAGCAAAGCTCTGCACCTGTAGTTCAGTAGTTAGGGTGCTGACCACATGCACTTGGGCTGGCAGGTTCAAACGCAGCCTGGAGCCTGCTAAAGAACAATGACAACTACAACAGAAAAATGGCTGGGCATTGTGGCAGGCATCTGTGATCCAGCTATTTGGGAGGCTGAGGCAAGAGAATGGCTTAAGCCCAAGAGTTTAAGGTTGCTGTGAGCTGTGACATCACAGTACTCTACAGAGGGCGACATAGTGAGGCTCTGTCTCAAAAAAAAAAAAAAAAAAGTAGAAAACAAGCAAACAATATTCCCCACAGATTTTAAAAAGATAATTCTGCAAATGAGATTGGGATTAATTCTTGTCTGCATGTCAAAGGTAAAAAATTTGTTTTGAGTATCATTAAACCACCTCTATCAACTGAGAAAAGGTTCCCTAATAAGGAAAACAATTGTATCTATTAAAACCAAACACCACCACCAAAACAATGTTGCCTATGATGTAGAGAAAAACAGCTCACCCTCCAGGGAACAATGTGACAAGCAGAACCCAAGCCACCTGAGCCCTGCCAATGGCTTCTCTCCCACCTTGGAACCAAGCTCTCTTCACATTAGACGGACACACACACACACCCCACCACCGCTGCACAGAACTGTCCACTCTCCATGCCTGGGATCCCCCACCTGCCCTACCAGCCACTGGTGTTCTTCCAGTTACTCTGACACCAGCCCAAATCGTCAAAGCTGACACTTCTAGCAGCCACGCTGTAGGACACCCTGGTGTCCGCTGGTCTTGCACAGAATCTCAGCTAACCCCTGTCCTGACACTTAAGCTGTATTCCCAAAACAAGACTGGCTTGAAGGGACTAGGGGACATGCTGAGGTCCCAGGGACAGTGCTCACAGGATAGCCCATCTGAGGTCCCAGGGACAGCACTCACAGGACAGCCCGTCTGAGGCCCAAGGACAGTGCTCACAGGACAGCCCGTCTGAGGCCCAGGGACAGTGCTCACAGGACAGCCCCTCTGGGGTCCAGCGACAGTGCTCACAGGAAAGCCTGTCTGAGGTCCAGGGACAGTGCTCACAGGACAGCCCGTCTGAGGTCCCAGGGACAGTGCTCACAGGACAGCCCGTCTGAGGTCCCAGGGACAGTGCTCACATGACAGCCCGTCTGAGGCCCAGGGACAGTGCTCACAGGACAGCCCCTCTGGGATCCAGGGACAGTGCTCACAGGACAGCCCGTCTGAGGCCCAGGGACAGTGCTCACAGGACAGCCCGTCTGAGGCCCAGGGACAGTGCTCACAGGACAGCCCGTCTGAGGTCCCAGGGACAGTGCTCACATGACAGCCCATCTGAGGTCCCAGGGACAGTGCTCAAAGGACAGCCCATCTGAGGCCCAGGGACAGTGCTCACAGGACAGCCCGTCTGAGGCCCAAGCACATCTGTGTGCAGCCTCGCTGTTCTCCAGTGGTGCTTTAGGAAAACCAGAGGCTGGAGGTTCCTTGATTTTTAGAGAATTCAAAGAAAATTACATATCCTCTCCTCAAAAAGATAATACACGCATGTAAGCATCTCTCTGCAAGGCTGGCTCCTCCTCCCTCCCTTTGCTCACATCAGGTGGAGGGCCGGGCACTGTCTTCTAGCCATTTTCCCTTCCTGGACACGCATCTCCTCAGCATTAAACGCTCCCTGTCCTGACAACTCCCTCCTGGCTCCTGCCAGCCTGACCTCTCTCCCAGTTTCAGTCTAGTGGGAAGCACTGCCTGTGTGCCATTTCTGCTCAAACATCAATCTTCCTGACTCAAAACCAAACTTTGGTCTTCACCCCCAATCCTGCTCCACCAAGGGTCCCCCTTTCCAAGTGACAATAGTTTCATACTTCTTTGCTCACATCAAAATCCTAGCATCACCCTTGTTCCTCTCACATCTTGACCTACAATAATCCCTGTGGGTTCCACTTTCTAAGTAAGCTCTGAATTGGCTGCCATTTCTTACAACAGCAGTGACTACTTTTCAATGTGCTAACCCTGGCAGGGAGCTCCCTCCTCCCACCTCACCTTCCCCACAGCCACAGTCACTCCCTGCACCGTGCAGGGTCCCCGGGCACCTGCTACTGCCTCTGTCTAAGAGAACGTGGACTCCGCCAGAGCTGACTTGCTTCTGCTCTGCTCACTAACACAGCCCTGGGCTTGGCATGTCTTGGTCCTGGACAAATGTCAAGTGAATGGACAGATGGAGGATACGTGACTACAAGTTCAGTGATGCCTGAGGAAGTGCTGAGAAGGAATCGCGTGAAAACATGATCGCACTTCAAAATAACGATGCAATATCCCAAATAACTTAACACTGAACAAACACATGTTGAACAAATGGAAGTGTAAATAAACATCTAGAGACTCAGAGAAGTCCCCAAGCCCGTGTATGTGCATCCCTGCAAAACCTGCAGAACCCAGGGCACAAAGCACTGCGCTCAGATGTTTCTGAAACTGTAAAACTCACAGAGACCTCAGGACCACCCTCTGAAGGGGAACATCTAAGGCACAGGAACACGGGTCCGAGAGACCCAGTACCTAGCCAAATCCTGCGGACGTGGAACAGAAGTGAACTAGTCTATCAAAATGTATGTGCTAGTATTAGCAAAACCTATGCATTTTCAAAATCTTAATGAAGAAGATTCTTTTTTTTTTTGCCAGGGCTGGGTTTGAACCGGCCACCTCCAGCATATGGGACCGGTGCCTTACCCTTTTGAGCCATAGGCGCACCCATGAAGAATATTCTTATGAAGTATTGTGGATCATTAGTTTTTAAGAGTGACTATAATAAACTAATGAGACATAGTTTTTTGTTAAATGGCTATGGGGAAAAACAGCATTTTAAGCAAATGACAAAATAATCAAAATAATAAAAAAATAAACATCTCCATAAAAAATAATATCCATTTTAATTTTTAATACATATATATTCATCTTTCATTTCATAGAAATAGAGGCCAGGTACAGTGGCTCACACCTGTAATCTCAACACTTTGGGAGACCAAGGCAAGAGGATCACTTGAGGCCAGAAGTTTGAGACCAGCCTGGGCAACAAGACAAGATCCTGTCCCTACAAATAATTTAAAAATTAGCCTGGTGTGGCGGTGCGCAGCTGTAGGTGTAGCTACTTGGGAGGCTGCAGTGAAAAGATGACTTGAGCCCATTAGTTAAGGCTGCACTGAGCTATGACTGGGCCACTGTGCTCCAGCTGGGTGACAGAGCGTCATTTTGAGCAATTATGTTTTCACATGATTTCCTCTAAAAATGAAAATAAATAATAATGATTTTAGTGCATACTGCTGCGTGAGTAGACAATGCATCTCAGAGCATCTCTGCAATCATGCTAGACCTTGGCACAGGGTCATAAAGCATATAGAGTCTTAGACAAAGGGCACAATATCAATCTAAGTTACCTCTGAAAACATGCTAACAGTGACTTAAAGCAGTGACAGGGAGCCAGAGGAGAGTGGCTTAATGCGCAGGCTGGAGAAGAGTGCTACATCCCAATCTCGGCCCTGTTGCTTAGTGGCAGTCGGAATGTTAGCAAGTTAATCCCCTTTGTCTTATATCTTTATTCGTAAAATGTGGATAATAATGAAACTACTTGGTAGAACTGTGGGAGAGTTGGGGCGCAGAGCGGCTGCCACGCTGTTCTGTGGGGGGTCAGGGGTGTGTGGGCTGGTCTGGGGGGACAGCCACCTGTATGAGCGCCTGCTCTGGTCCTCACTGTCCTCCAGGGTCTGGGGACGCTGTGCCTGCAGGTCGAGTTCCTCTCGGGGCGACTCTTGAATCAAACGAGTTGTCTAAAATTTAAGAGAAGTATAAAGCAGGCTAATTGAATATTTATGAATGAATATAAAACAATGAACTAAGGATAAGAACATTCATAAAATGTGGATTTAGAAAGACAAAAAAAACCAAAGAGTCCACTGAAATCATTTGAGCCAGAACAATAATAAAACTCATTTACATAGATATGATTAAATAAATACCTATTTTATTGATTTTGTGTTAACTCACTTTAATTCAAAGTGTAAGCAACTAAGAAACTGATTTTTGGTAATCTATTCTTATACATCTTAGCGAGAGATTACTCTTTCATCTGCTCTATTCTTACTGATAGAGAAAAACAATTACTACTTTCAGCAAATGCTAAGTCTCCTCGTGTCACAGACGACACAGGGGAGGAGGAGAAAAAGCTGCGATGTGGAGGGCAGCGTCCTGCATACGCAGGGCACTCACGGTAACCCAGCCCCCAGGCCCAACTGGGCGACAGCAACTGAGCTTGCACAGTTTCACTCAGAGCGCTCTGCCACAAAAGGCCCCACCGAGGAACCACCCAGATCCGGCGCCTGCTGTCAATCTGCCATTTCTAGCAGCAGAAAAATGCTCTGAAACTTCCATGGAAGGGTCCAGGCCCACCACAGGGGGAAAGCTAGTGAGAAAGGATTGTAGAGAAAGAGAATGATTGATCGATCATTTTCATCACTATTAAAAAAATTCCAAAAAAAGAAAAATCAAAACAAAATACATTTCAATGTTTCCAACTTGAGAAACTTTTTAAGTAATGCATTAAATATTTATTTTTAATATCAGCATTCACTATGTTTTCCTCCTAACACATTTCTTTTAAGATTCCATAAATAAAAATAAAATAGCATCTGCTAAACAATAAGTATGTACCCCTCAGTCAATACTCACTGCATTGATTGCATCAGAGGTAGGAACCTGCAGTAAGTTTGGCTGGTGGAAACTCGTAGAGAGGGCCTGAGACTCAAGTGTGCTGGAATCTTGTAGCTGTTGGACAGGTGGAAACTGAGTCTGTTGATTGTACGTATCGGTCACTGTAAAATCTGGAATAAATTAGGAGTTTTACAATAAAAATTAGAGTTTTACACAAACACACACACACACACATGGGTTTATAAAACAAAAATTCTATCTCTGAATTAGAGGCAGGGTTGACTTGCCAACAGGCAGGAGACTGTGCTCAGCCCACGCCACTGAGTGAAGGTTTCACAAAGCAACCACAAGCACCCAGTCCCCACCATGTCCCACTTTCTACTCCAGCACCTTTCCTTGACCAGAAACTACACGTAAGACCGTTATAAAGATCTGAGCAAACCACAAAATAGTATGTATCAATTAAAAAAAGTTATTTGGTTTGTAACCATACCTTTTAGAAGGGCCTTAAGAGAAAACACCTCAGGTGGCTGTAAAATTAAAGCCAACCTAGGTAAAGCTCATTTGCAAATTCCACTGAAGCCCACACTGACCTTGGGACAGCCCCACAGGTTCAAAGGGCTGCTGGGATGTCTGCTCTTCAAACTGACCAACGTGTCCCCGGAGAGGGTCCTGTGCAGCCACAAAGCCATCTGGAGATAAGACACAGAAATGGAGACTCACACATCTGGAAATTGCTCCCTACCGACCAGTCTGTCCAAAAGGATGGTTGAGTGAGTTTTTAAAACTCAGCCTCCTTTTCTGGAAAGACAATAGGAAGGTCACAGATACACAGATGCTTACACACACACTGCCAAAAAAAGGTACACGCATTTTAAGAAAGGGAAAACTGTAGTAAAATTCTAATACTCGGCATACAGCAATAATCTTCATCACTCATATATTGCGTCTTCTATCTCTTGGAACTGCAGAAGTCAACATGACTTGAGCGTGACGATTTTAACACAGCTATTTCCAGTATTAAAATGTGTGTATACTATTTTGGCACTGTATGTAACTATAATATGGTTAAAGCGCCATCTCTGTATTTTCAAAATATCATCCCTTAAAGTCTTCACAGTCTGTCCTAAATCTCAGTCTCATAAAAGAACACGCTGCTGTGTGATTACATTCAACAGTCACTTAGAATCTTTCTGATGTGCACTGTTCCAGGCTTTAAAGGACATGAAAAGTGTACCATCCTTCCCATAGACTAAACATCTGGGGGACAACCGTACAACAAAGCAGGGAACTGGCCAGCACATGTGGACAGGCCTGCCCAAGACAAGCAGCCTGCGCCAGACGCTCACGGCCACATCACAGAGCAGCTACCGACAGGCTCTCCTGATGAAGGAAGCGACGTGCAGCCTGTTTCTGGGACGGGAGCCTGATCTCACACAGACGCCTCGCAGAGAGTCTGCTGACCTGCCTTAGTCTGGAGGATCTATGCACAAAGTGCAATGGAATACTAAAACCACCACAGATAAAAGGAAAGATATTCTAACAATATTAAGGAATTAAAGTAGGTTACAAAAAAGTCTGTACAGAAGGACCCTAATCCACACGCACATGCCTGCCGTTCATACGGAAAAAACTGGCAGCAAGTGCACAAAAATATGGACCACAGATTTTGCAGATGTCAATCAAAGTGGATGTAGTAGATTTTAACCAAAATAAAGACTTAAATCTAAGACCTGACACAATAAAACTATAAAACTATAAGGAAAACTAAGATTTTCTGAGTAAGACCCCAAAAGCACAGGCAACAAACAAAAAATAAACAACTGGTCTTATATAAAGTAAAAAGGTTCTGCACAGAATGGAAGGAATCAAGAGTGAAGAGACTAAGTGAATAAGAAAAAATATTTGCAAATTACCCGTCCAGCCAGTGATTAATATCCAGAATATACCAGGAACTCAAATATCTCAATAGCCAAACAAACAAAAAAGAACCCAAGCAATCTGATTAAAGGATGGGCAAGAAATATGGGTAAATGATCTAAACAGATGTTTCTCCAAAAAAGACATACAACTGGCCACAAAATACATGAAAAATGTTCAACATCACCAACCATCAGGGAAATATAAATCAAAACCACAGTCAGGCATCATCTTACCCAGCATAGCTATTATCAAAAAGACAAAAAATAAGGGCAGTGCCTATGGCTCAGTGAGTAGGGCGCTGGCCCCATACAATGAGGGTGGCAGGTTCAAACCTGGCCCCGGCTAAACTGCAACAAAAAAACAGCCGGGTGTTATGGCAGGCACCTGTAGTCGCAGCTACTTGGGAGGGTGAGGCAAGAGAATCGTCTAAGTCCAAGAGCTAGTGGTTGCTGTGAGCTGTGATGCCCCAGCACTATACACAGAGTGATAAAAAGTGAGACTCTGTCTCTTAAAAAAAAAGACAAAAAGTAACACACACTGGCAAGCTTGCAGGGAAGAGGGAGCTCTTACTCCCTGCTGGTGGGAACGTGAACTAGGGCAGCCACTGAGGGGAGCAGCACCAGGCTCCTCAGAAACCACAACCAGAGCCACCATGTGATCCAGCCACCCTGCTGCTGGGCGTTCACTCCAAGGCCAGGAAATCAGCCTCCCAAAGAGAGTTCTGCACGCCCACGTTTACTGCAGCTCCTCAAGAGTAAAATCCCGTCTTTCTCGGCAAGGTGGACGGAACTGAAGGACGTGATGCCAAGTGAAGTCAGTCAGGAGCAGAAGTAACACACCACGTGTCCTCACTCACACCTGGGAGCTCATCTCACAGAAGAATAAAGTGGAGCACCATGCGCAGAGTGGGAGGGTGAAGGGAAGGGGGACAGGCAGAGAGGTGGCCAAGGAGACAAGATACAGCCGGACAGGAGGCACAGGCCTCACTGCTCCGTACCACTGCAGGACGCCTGTTAACAACAACATATCCTGGTTGGTGATTCTGGAAGAAACAAGAGTGTGGCGTGAGCATAGGAAGCAAAAGAAAACAGGCAGTGTGCAACCGTGAAGCGAAGGCTTAGTCTCGGGGACTAGAGGCTTAAAGAAAGGGACAGACTGAAACCTGAAAAGAAGGAAAAGAAAGATCCCAGCACATTAAAGGAAAGAGAAGTCCCCCAGCACCCTTCATGCTTATTCTACCAATATAATACACAACTGGGCCCACCTTACCACATCTTGGTTGATACCAACTTTATCAACTTTTCCATTAAAGCCAAACTGGACTTAGTACAGTCAATGATGGACTGTCTGTGTGCCAAGTGCATTCCTTGTATAACTGACTGTGTAATGGCTGAAACTGAGAAATTGGAGCAGAAGTATCTAGTGGCCCTCAGGATTGCCAAGGATCCAAGATTTGAACGATTACCATGCGCACACAAAGGAACCTATGCAGATGACTGCTTAGTACAGAGAGTAACTCAGCACGAGTGTTACATCGTTGCCACAGTTGAGGGAGACCTTAAACAAAGAATCTGGAAAATCCCTGGAGTTCCTATCACGTATATTTCTAACCACAGACACAGTATTGAACGGATTCCAGATGATTATGGAGCACCCTGTTTCTAATTCTTATAAGACAATGTTCCTATGCCTTTCTTCCACCAATTTTCTCTGGTAACAGTTTGTTAAACATGAAATACCATGAATTATTATTACTCTGTTCCCCAGTTTGCTTTATTATGACCTGGAGGATGTAGGTAAATACACTCACATTTGGATGCTATTTTGAAAATGATATTTTATCTCATTGATGGTCAAAGATGCAAACTCTTATGAAGAATGTTTCATTCTTTTTTGAGTTCTGTTATACAATGTGGTAATTATAGCTAACATTAGAGTAAATTTCAAATGTTCTTACCACAAAAATGTTAAGTATTTGAGGTGATAGATATATTGACTAGTTTGATTTAATTAGTCCACATTGTATTCATAGATTATAACATCACTGTGTACTCCATAAGTTTATACAAGTATAAACTGTTGGTTTACAATAAAAATAAAATTGTTGTGTCTTTTTGTTAAAAACATATATATATATATATATCCTGTCGTTCCAAACAGACAGAAGGATGCAGAATGTTCCTTCCTGGTGCAAAGAAATGATAAACATGCTAATTACCCCGATCTGATCATTACATCACTGTGTACCCCATACTGTGTACCATGGTCAATTAAAACAACTGTTTAATCACACACAAGAATACACGGGGTGGAAAACAGCATCACTCTCCCACACAAGGACACACAGCACAAACTGTGACTTAGAAAGGTTAAAAGACACAGAATGGGCTCGGCGCCTATAGCTCAACCGGCTAAGGCGCCAGCCACGTACACCTAAGGTGGCGGGTTCGAATCCCCAGCCCGGGCCCGCCAAACAACAATGACGGCTGCAACCTAAAAATAGCCGGGCGTTGTGGCGGGCGCCTGTGGTCCCAGCTACTTGGGAGGCGGAGGCAGGAGACTCGCTTGAGCCCAGGAGTTGGAGGTTGCTGTGAGCTGTAATGCCATGGCACTCTGCCCAGGGGGACAGCTTGAGGCTCTGTCTCAAAAAAAAAAAAAAAAAAAAAAGACACAGAATGGAGGGAGCAGGATGGACTGCCTCCGGGTGAGGGCTGCAACTCTCAGTGAGATCATTTTGAAAATTCAAATTTCTGAAACATTCACCTTCGTCCGTGTCCAGAGGCTGGTCCGTCAGCTGCTGTCCAAGCCCTGCCTCCTCTGTGCCCACCACGTGTGGTGGCTCCAGGTCCAACATGGCCTCGGGGTTGGCTGCGACCACCTCTGCAGGCTGTGGCAGCTCCCCGCTCTCCATCTCCACCTGCATCTGGGCCGAGACCTGCACACCCTGCTGGTCCACGGCACTGTCCCCTACTGAGGCCACATGCTGATGCTGCTGGAGCTGCTGGGCAAGTTCGTACCTTCAGAAAAATTAGTAACAATTCATACAATTAGATGCTCCCAAAGATCTGTGGTTACTTACAAGGGATACAGCTGTTCCTGCAGGTTCTAAGTTACTAAGTAACACTTGCTATTCTTAAATCATTTCATTTGGAGTCGGATGGCAGTCCAGGCCAACAAGAAGCCCCACTGAGGATCAAGGAGGACCAGGCTGCCCATCCCAAGTGCCTTCACAGGCTACAAGACGCAAGGGCCCAGCGAGGGCCCTTGGAATTTTTTAAAGTTCTAAAACAAAGATGCCACATACTTAAAAGTAAAACTCTGCCAACGCAAATTCTGTGATGAGCTCATCTTCAGAAACAGAACTGCACTTAATGAGGCCATGCCTGAAATATCGGACCAGGTTCACTACCAAACTTGTGCACAGACATGGAGGGCAACATCCAGAGGCTGCCTCATATGGTCCAGGGCCGCAGACGCTTTCTGTGACCAACGCGCTACAAGACACTTAACATGAGGCCCAGGGCCAGACTGACATTCATGGTGCTTTTAGCGACATTTATGTGCATAAAATATATCTAGTTTATTTCATAAATGTCAACGATTTTGCTTCCAAAAAAATAAAAAAGATGAACAATGAATTCAGTGAAGGAATCTAGGATCTTAGAAGAAGCACCTCAGTCATCGTCTGATGACCAGACTAGGTGATGTGACAGCAGCTGAGACAGCAGGCCATCCCCTCCCCTCCCCAATACCCCCAAGGCCAGACCCACATGAGCTCCATCACCTGCTCTACTTCAGGATCTTGCGGATCGGCCTACTCAGAATTTCATTCTTAATTCCAAATAAAACTTCTGAATTTTTTGATATCAAAAATAGTTCCTAAAGCAACAATGACAACTGCAACAACAACAACAAAAAATAGCTGGGTGCTGTGGCAGGCACCTGTAGTCGCAGCTACTTGGGAGGCTGAGGCAAGAGAATCACTTAAGCCCAAGAGTGGGAGGTTGCTATGAACTCTCTACCGAAGGCACATAGTAAGATTCTATGTCTCAAAAAAAAAAAAAAAAATCATCAATTCCCAGTGAATTTCACTGTTCAAGGGAGAACCAAAACATAACACATAAGAGCAACTGCTCAGGACACACAGATTCACCTTCATAGTGACAGTCCTGGCACAGCAAGGCAGTGGCACGCAGCACCCGCCACTGCCCTCCCCCCCAAACAGGTCTCATGTGGTGACTGGGGGGGGGGGGGGCCTGCTTTCTGTTTGCTTGCTTGTTTTCTTTTTCCATGAAAGTTTACTATAATAACGTTTTGTACCTCTCTTTAATATAGGATACATGGTATTTGAGGAATTCCCAACCCCTCAAATAAAGGCAGTAAACCTTGTAAGCAGACTCAAAGTGCACACAATCTATAAGAGAAAAGCGCCCGGCACAGCAGGGTGACAGGCTCAAAGTCTGACCCTGACCCCTACTCATGTCCCTCCGTGCAACCCATGCCAAATAGTGTCCACTTAATAAAGCAGCTGTACCACTTGGGGCCATAAACAAGGGCGTAAAGACCACACTCCCAACTCTGCCACACGAAGCACCTGGTAAAGGCCAGGCTTCCTGGCACAGAAATGTGACTGACCGTGCCCCTGAGCAAGCCAGGCCCCATCTTCTCAGCATGGTGAACTCTGGGCCCACTGGGGACCAGTCCTCCTGCTTCAGTGTGCATCGGGAGCACGTACGCACCCTTGGCCCATAGTTCCCAGACACGCAGGCAGCAGCTTACTTCCCCCACAGAGCCTAACAACACTGAGTGTGTGAGTGGCAGGAGGCCCCTACGTGACACCTCCAATATCACCTTTCCTGAGACTCCCACATGTGAACGCAGACTGGTAATGTCAGAACAAAACACAGAAGACCCTATCACAGTTACCTGAGCCTAGTATTTGATGTTTGTTTTATAGGGAACATCTGAGCAGACGAATCTGAGTTAAATGCTATCCAGAAGCAAATGTGGGGCAGCAGGTTTAACATTCTTCCATGACAGGCCTAGCAACTCTTACTTCAAATCTCAGATGTGCTGTGGCCCCAGTGCTACTCAGAAATGCTTCTCTTTAGGATGACCTCTACCTAGAGATGAGCCACCCTTTCACCAGGTAAGAACTGAATGACAGATTTAAGGAATATGTAAAACGTGTGCTTTTCAAGTGGACAGCATGGAACAATACTGAAGGGTTTGTGACAAAACGCCTAGAACCAAAGAGTTGCCTCAGAGTCTCTTTTCAGGCACCTCCACACCCTGACTGTGCTGGACACAGTCCAGAATTTCATCTAATTGTCAACTCCCAGCTTCAATACAACTTGCAGAACACTCAGCCCAACACAAATCCTTCAATATTAAGTTAAAAATCAAAACTTTAGTCCTTCATAGCCTATGGCTCTCGTTACATCCTTAGACACTGATACTTAAGTTTCTTTAGCCCAGCGACTCTAAGCTAGAAAAAAATAATATTAAGAATCAGAGACAATTTTTCATAAAAACATTACTCATCACCATTTGGGAATTATAAAAATTATAAAAAGCAGCCATCAGAATTATACATACCTATGGGTTTTCATGTGCTTTTTGCAATTTAGTGAGGTCTTAAATGTTTTCTGGCAATAGGGACACATGTAAGGACGAAGGTCATTATGTATACCCATGTGTCGCCTCAAGCTGCCACCGGTAGTAAATGCTCCGTTACATATCAGACACTTGAAAGACTTGAGTCCTGTGTGTGTTCGGACGTGTGCTTTGAGCACTCCTGCAGAAACAAAGCCTCTCCCACACTGAGAACATTTAAAAGGTTTTTCACCTGTATGTGACCTAAAGAAATAAAATTGTACTGAGTAAGTTTCTAACACTTTTATAACGCTTTATAGCTGTAATACACTTTTGTATATTATTTCATTTGCTCATCACATTTTTTAAGCTAAGCAGCAAAGATGTAGCTCTGTGCATTTCACAAATGAGGAAACCTGAGAGTCAGAGGAATTAAGCCTGACGTCACACAGTGGCATGTAAATGAGACAAAACTAGAACCCACGTTTTCTAAGTTCTATACTTGTTCATGACATTGTGCCGTCTCCCACGATCAAGTCTGTATTTTCTTTTCACCATTGTTAGCACCAAAAATTAATCTAAACTCTGAGGGATACACTTGAACAACATAAACCCAGTTCTAAAGAAATAAACCAAATGCTTCTTTGATGTTTCCTGGAAATTGCAAATCCTGAAATACCTGGTAGGCGTGTAAATAAAATTCAGTGGCAGCTTCTGAGTCAGAGTGAAGACAGGGAAGAATGGCAACATCAATCATCAAATACATCCGAGGCCGATGTGAAGGCTTAGACACCAGAAACTCAAACTACCGTCCTAAAAACTCTGGACATCACCAGCTCGCTAAATCACTGTCCTCACACTAAATTTCCATCCTTGAACCTTTTCACCTTACCTGATGTGTTGTTTAAGGTGGCAGGATTTTTTATATGCACGATGACAATAAAAACATTTGTAGGGTCTATCTGCTTCATTTACAAAATTATTATTAAAATAACTTTGGAAAAACTGGTTTCTTGGAATGGGCTGGATAAGACCTACAAAAAAAGAGAGAGAGAGAGACAGTAGGAATAATTCCCTATCAGTAATACCATAAACCTGAACATCACAAGCTATCTGCTTTACCTACAAGATGAAAATCCCGGTGAGTTAAAGTTGAGATTCCAGGGTTGCAACTAACTATAATTATATTAGAAACTGGCCATTTAAAAATTGCCTACAGGAAAAAAATTTCAAAAAATTTGGAACATATGAGTCTGGTGTATGTTTGGAAGTGTATTTTCTCAAAATGAGAATTATCTATATTGTCACAATTACTTCACTTGATTCTACAGCCATTTTTAAATGGATTTCTACATTTATTTTTTATCTGGATATTTGTTGACATGGAATTTACATAACTATGCCCCCAGTTTAATCAGGATTTTAAATGCCATCTTTATTCAATATGAATACTATACACTAGCTGCCATAGGAAATTCAAAACATGTGATTCTAATATGATCTTTTGTTCTAAAAAAGGTCAGTGTCTTTATAGACACTTTACTAAAAGGACATCTACAAATAGCAAAATGATTAACTCCAATATTTCACATTTTATACACACTTACTATATAAAGAATTCCTTCAGGCTAACCACCTACTAAATGGGACTTGATTGAGCTACTAATATGCAAATCAGGGCACCTGGGGGTCACACTCTGAACTCTTGAATGTGGCCTGCTTTTTTACTGGATACAATCTTTGATTACAGATCAATGAAAACATAATTAAAAATAGCTATACAAAATTTAATTATATGAGGAAAAAAGACTCAAAACTGACATAGGACATTATAAATGAGAGAATTACATAAACAGAATTACTGAATCAAAGCTGTGCTCAGACAGATAAATTAACATACCTTTAGCCAGATTCAAAACAAAAGAGAGAAGACACAAATAAATGAAATCAGAGATAAAAACAAGACATTACAGCTGATACTACAGAAATCCAAAGTACCATCATCAGAGACTACTAACTACATGCCAACAAACTGGAAAACCTACATGAGATGGATGAGTTCCCATCTACATACAACCTACACCTACCAAGACTGCACCAGGAAGAAATCCTAAACCTGAATAAGCCAGTGAGAAGGCCCAACACAGAAGCAGTAATAAAAAGTCTCCCATCACGAAAAGCCCAGGACCTGACAGCTTCACTGCTGAATTCTACAAAGCATTCAAAGAATTAATACAATCCTACTTTAACTATTCCAAAAAACTGAGGCGGAAAGACTGTGTGTCCTCCCAAGCACACCCTGAAAGACCTACATCATTCTGATACCAAACCCAGACGAAGACACAGTAACAACAGGAACAAAAAGCCATAAGCCAAATACCCTTCACAAATACTACAGAGTACTAGTGAAGAGAATCCCTCATAAACACTGGGTGGTACTAGCAAAGAGAATTCAATAACATATTTAAAAGATTCCTCACGATCAAGCGGAATTCATCCCAGGGACGCAAGGATGGTTCAACATATACAAATCAATCAGTGAGACACATCCTATTAAGAGAATGAAGAACAAAACCTTTACGATCATTTCACTGCTGCTGAAAAAGCATATGATGACATTCAACAGCCCTTCATGATAAAAATCCTGGTATAAAAAAACATAATCAACACAGTAAATGCCACATGTGACGGGACTATTACATTATCATACTGAAGGGAGAAAAGCTCAAAGCCGGTCGTTCCGCTAAGATCTGAAAGAGACGGGGTGCCTACTGGTTCTACTATTAACAAGTTCTGCAAGTTCTAGCTGGAGCACTCAGACAAGAGAAGAGGCCAATAAATGCATCCAAACTAGAAAGGATGAAGTCAAATTATCCTTGTTTACAGATGCTATGATTTTATACCTAGAGAAGGCTAAAGACTCCACACATAAAAATTATTAAAATTGATAAACAAATTCAATAAAGTTGCAGGACACATTAACATATAAAACCAGCTATATTTTTCTATGCTAATAGTAAACAATCTGTTAAAAAAAAAAAAATACTCTATAACTACAAATAAAATACCTAAGTATAAAAATTTTTTTTCTGAGACAGAATCTCACTGTTGCCCTCAGTAGAGTGCCATGGCATCACAGCTCACAGCAACCTCAAACTCTTGGGCTTAAGGGATTCTCTCACCTCAGTCTCCCAAGTAGCTGGGACTGCAGGCGCCCGCCACAACACCCAGCTATTTTTTTTGCAGTTCTCATTGTTGTTTAGCTGGCCTGGGCTGGGTTCAAACCCGTCACCTTCAGTGTATGTGGCTGGTGCTATAACCACTGTGCTATGGGCACCAAGCCTAAAAATAAAACTTTTAACCAAATAAACAAGAGATTATCATAATGAAAACTCTGAAAAACTGATCAAAGAAACTAAAGGGACCATACACCAAAAAATGGAGAAATATATCATGCTCGTGGATTGACAGAATCAATATGATTAAAATGTCATGCTATCCAAAGCAAACTACAGATTCACTGCACTCCCCATCAAAATACCAATGACGTTCTTCACAGAAATAGAAAAATAATCCCAAAATTTATATGCAACCATCAAAGACCCAGAATAGCCAAAGCCATCCTGCCTGCACCCTTGTCTTAGATTGACCAGCCTCCATACATCTGAGAAATAAATTTCTATAATTTATAAGCTCCCAGTTTATGGCATGTTTGTGATAGCAGCTCAAATGTACTAAAACAATAAGGTTTATTAAACTTTTCTCTAGCACTTACAAAAAAATTGTTTTTCCTAAAGATTCTAGCGAAACAGTGTATTCTTTTTGGGTAGTTTGGATTGATCATAATAACATTGAGCCTAAAAAGTACTTAAAAGCTGGTATTTTCTTTTCCTTTTTAGCCTTAAAATTAAAGCAGTCCAAATAATAATATGTCACACTCCATGGGAATCCAATGCTGGACACAACAAAGAACACTGTGCGTTTCCCACAAACTCCTGTCACCTTCAACAGTGGGACTCAGGCAGCAAAGTGTTCACGACAACACATCCAGGACCCTCTCCACTCACACAGCTCACACAGCTCTCTCAGAACCAAGAACACAGTTTTAGCAGTAGTTTAGAACATGATAGTATAGAACATAATAGCCCACAAAGCAAAATTAGGCTTAATGAACACTTCATCATTACCACGCCTACTACTATTTAACTAAACAGACCATAAAATTCATAAAATACCAATGCTCAGTAAATCGTAAAGACACCTTCCCGTCCCTCTCACCTAAGTCTGTTATGAGAATCGGCTCTTGCAAAGGAATGTCAGGCACTGGGACGTCCGTCTTGCCCACACGAACCTTCGCGGGTTTGCGCTGGTGCCTCATCTTCCTTAATTCCGTGTGTTTAAAGTGGGAAGCAATGTGAGTCTTCCGATGGCCTGAGGTTCGAAATTTTTTGTCACAGTGAGGACACGCAAATGGTCTAACTCCTAATAAAAATAAAAGCACATTTAAAAATTATTTCAAGTAATGAAACCTCAACAGTGAATGCTAACATAAAACACTTCTAATATGAATTTGAATATCCTATTTGTTATTAAATGCTTCTAATGTCACAGATGTTATTCATTAGCGTTTCCCCTTGTTGACAGAACACATTACGCACATCACGGACGCCAAGGCATGGAGTCAGAGCACTGCAAGGGAAGGAGCACCTCCTGAGACAAAGCCACCAACCGGAAAGACTGTCCAGGTGCTCCAACCACTAGCTGTCCTTCAGGATTCTACAGTGTCTAAGGCTGCACTCTCACAAACACTCATCTGCCAATGGGCATTGCGATGCCCGCGTCCCGGGGCTGTGGCTGTGATTAATGCTTAAACAGCATTGTGCAGTGTCATGCAGTTTGTAAACAAGTAGTAAATGGTCCCTGTTACTGACTATAAACAGTGATGATAATAATCATATCCGCTTAATGATCCTATACTACTCTGCCCCCTTTCTGAACAAAATTCCTCTTTCTTTCTTTCTTTTTTTTAATTTCCTTCTTTTATTACCTTTCTGATAGGTGAAAATGTAGATCCTAAAGAAAGACATGTTTTGTGTGTGTGTGTGTGTGTTTTTGCAGTTTTTGGCTGGGTCTGGGTTTGAACTCATGACTTCCGGCATATGGGGCCGACGCCTTACCCCTTTGAGCCACAGGTGCCACCCAAGAAAGACATGTTTTTAAAAACTAATTTTACTTTTTTGAATACTCATCAATATGGTCACCCAGCCAGGGAACCCTGAGGGAACGTGGGGAGATACTGCTAAAGAGTCCCTGGTTTCTTCCAGAGGAGAAAAAATGTTCCAGAATCAAGCATTTGTGAGGTTGCACAATTCTGAATCCTATACTGTTAAGAACATGAATTTTATATGTGAATTAGAGCTCAATAAAGCTGTTATTTAACAAAACTACAGCCCAAACCAAAAAAAAAAAAAAAAATTCATGCCTTAATACAGATTTAAAAAACATCCAAATGTAGGCATTGAGGTCACCCTTCCTGTTCGACCCCTGGACCAATGGGGCAGTTCTTCCCCAGCCACAGCTAAAGCCTACAAGTCTTTGCAGGTAGCAGAAGACCGGCCTCTTCCTCCGAAAGCCTCTCTGACCAATGCTTACCTCCAGTCCCCACGGGGAGCCTCTCTCCACCCTTTGCAACAGACGTTCATAAATGTCCCCGTTTAAAGCCTCCCCAGTACACCTTAGAGCCAGGGAGGTCAAAGTGCTTTGTGCTCCACCCTCAGGTGCCAGACTGCAGCAGGCAACAGGAGGGAAATAGAAAGGCGCGATCAGCACCCGCCCCCGCGCACCTGTGTGCAGGCGGATGTGCACCTTGAGGCTGCCGGACGTGGAGAAGCTCTTCATGCAGTACTGGCACTTGAAGGCCTTGATGCCCGTGTGTGTCTTGATGTGCGCTGTCAGCGTGCTCTTCACTGCGAAGGCCCGGAAGCACTGCGGGCACTTGAAGGGCTTCTCGTGCGTGTGGATGCGGATGTGGCGCACCAGGTCGCTGGGTTTGCGGAACTCCTTGGTGCAATAGGGGCACACGTGCCAGCGCACACCGTTCTCCTCCCGGACCGAGCCTGCACGACAGAGAGGCACACGTCTGCGGGGGCGGACCCATCTGCCGGATGGCGCCAGCCCTGCCGGGTGCCCCAGGGAGGCTCGGGGTGCACCCTCCCTGCAGAAAGACTCACAAAGGCCAGAGCTAACACACCTGATTGCTTACAGGGACAGCTGGCATCTCCTTGATCGCTGAAATTGTTGAGGGCTACGATTTAATCTTGCAGGAGACCTAAATGGTCTGGACCACAGTCCTCAGAGCACCTGAGGGACAAGACCCCTTATCTACAGACCATGCACCGCCAAGCGCTCCCAAGGAGACAGCAGATGTGACAAAATGACTTCATGCTGAACCCAAAGAACACAAAGGGAAGGATGAGATCTGAGTAAGGATCTACTGAGCCTATCTGATATCATAAAAAATACTACAAATGCACGAAATTGTAAGCAACAGTAAGCTCTTATGCTCTGAAAGGGAACGTGTAAAGATAAATGGTAAATATGAATTCGTGATCAAATATAAAGGTTGTTTTCTATATTCTAAATATTGGTATACAGCTTTGAATCACATTAAAAATATTCCTACCAGAAGGAAAACCACTAATAAAATCCACAGAACTGTAATAAGCGCAGCAGTCCCTCCTGCACCTGTCTGTGGCTCCTGCGTCCCCACGCCCCAGGGATAAGGAACCCAGTAGAACCCAAGGCTGCAGGACCAAGCCCCAGGATGCTCTCTCTCCTGACAACCCAGGCGCGCCAGTGGCTCACGGTGGGCAGCTTATAGAGCAATCACTGTTGGACACGGGTGATCCATGCCCTGGCCAGGTGGAGCACCACAGCTAGACTAAACCCCATGCAATTTAAAACTCATTAAAATTGTTTATGGAATTTTCCACATTACATTTTTGGAGCTCAGTTTACATCAGGTGACTAAACCTTAAAAGAGTGAAACTGCAAATAAGGGGGAACTTCTGTAGAATGATTTCTCCCACAAAAAAAATATCAAGGAACAAAATTCAGCAGATTCTTTTTTAGACAGAGCTTCAAGCTGTCCCCCTGGGTAGAGTGCCGTTGCATCATAGCTCACAGCAACCTCCAACTCCTGGGCTCAAGAGAGTCTCCTGCCTCAGCCTCCCAAGTAGCTGGGACCACAGGCACCTGCCACAACACACGGCTATTTTTTTTTTTTTTTTGGTTGTAGCCATCATTGTTGTTTGGCGGCCTGGGCTGGATTCGAACCTGCCACCTTAGGTGTATGTGGCTGGCACCTTAGCCACTTGAGCCACAGGCACCGAGCCAGCAGATTCTTTTTATTTTTAAAAATTTTGGTAAGACTTATGCATCTGAAATTATAATAAATAGACATCTACAGAAATTAAAAAGATAATCCAGGTAAAGAATCATGTAAAATCAAAGATTTGGGCCATGGTAATGCAATTCATTAGAGAATTTTAACTGAAACGTGCTTAGCCACGTCTGTACAGACATAATTTTCTTAGGAGAATTTATCATCAGTAATTACAAGAAATTCTCCATATATGCAAGTGAATCTGTAAAGGAAGAAAACAGGTTTTTCCCAATATAATATTCTTTAGGACAGGAATTCACATAGAAAAGGAAGTTGGATTAAAACAAAAATTTAAAAACACTGACAGAATAGAAACAAGGACCAAGAAAGGAACAGAAAGAAACTACAACCATTAAAGCAGAAAACAAGGGAAATGGTTCTAAAATGAAAGGCATTTTTATTGTAATATTGAGTATTTTAAAGAAATCTAAAACTCAGGACTGCTAAAAACTAATAGGCAAAAATTAATTGAGAAATGTACATAATTACTTAAAGGCTTATCATGACAAATTACAAATGCAAGGTATAAAAAGATAGGGAAATGCTCAAGTAGGGGCTCAAATGAACAAATAAATTTAAAAATAAAAATAAGTATGACAGAACTCTGATAGCTAAAATTAGGAAATCACCCAGAAACCAGAATTTTTTCCACATAAAAATATTTCTATAATTAATTACATAGGTTAGACTACCACTCAGTTCTAATTATTTCTAGGAATAGGCTGGAATAGAAACTACAAACTGTGCTGAAGCTTCTCCAAATCTGGCCTAGATAAGTTTTACTTGGCCCACACAATGTTAAAAAAGGAAAACGGAATCCAGATTTCCAACTCTGACAAACTGAAAGCTCTGGAGACCCAAATCTGCATTCCTACATGGCAAGCCTCCCTGGAGCTGAGCAATAGCTCCCCTCCTCAAACATATTAATAAATTTAGAAAGAAAAACATATGAGTATGAACTCACACTTCAACATGAAAGGCATCAGCTAAAACTCAGTATCTAGTCTTAACTTTAAAAAAAGTCTGAAAAGAAAGAGGCGGTGAATAAAATATACAATTCTATTAACTTTTCAACTTAATAGAAAAATAATAAAAGCATTCATATTAAAGTCAAGGAGAAACATCCACTAACTGCCACTGATTTATAGTATTCTAGAGATACTAGTCAAAGACATAAGACAAGAAAAAATATATAGCATAAACTAGAAACGAAAAAATAAAATCATTATTTATAAATGATACAATCATATGATCTAAAAAACCTAAAACTCAGAAAGATGCCCAAGTTTGGGGTTTTTTTAATTATTATCTCAGTAGATTTAAGGGGATAAGTGTTTTCCTACATGGATGCACTGTACAGTGATGATGTCAGAGCTTTTAACCCATCACCTGAATAGTTAGCACTGTACCTAATAATTTTTAGTTCCTCACTCTGAGGCTCCAAAGTCCATTTTCCTACTCTTTATGACCACATGCATCCATTGTGCAGCTCCCACTTACAAGTGTGTGCATGAGGTATTTATTTTTCCATTACTGCTCTTAGGTGCTTACAGGGGAGAGAGAGAAAGAGATAGTCTTTAAGAGAGTAAAGCAGTCTTCTTAGAAAGATAGATCTTTGTCTTTAGCAGAGCTTAGAGATCTTCAGCCATGCTGGCGTTCTACAGGCAGGAGAGGAGATAGAGTCAGAGTAAGCGGGTCTGTGATAGAATTAGCATGCTCCCAACTGCCTTCTCCTCCAGTCTAATACAAGGCTGATCTCATGCCTCACAACACCATAGGTGTAGAGACTGCCAATTCACTGATGCTCTCATTTCTTGAGCTCTCTCCTGCTTGTTAGGAGAGCTAAATCCCTCTCTGTGCCCTTTTCACCAAGGTGTTCCATTATTGAGCTATACAGGTTGGCGACAATCTAGCAAAATTATAAAGGTATGTACAAGTGTTTTGTCATCAAGCACCTTACTTACATAAATAAGGAAATCTGAATAAGGTCTATAGAATGAACCTTGGATCAATTTTAATTTCCTGATGATTCCACTATGATTATGTAAGAAAATGTCCTTGATTTTAGGAAATATATACTGAAGTATTTAGAGTTAAAAAAAAATTATAATTCCTTTCTGAAAATTTAGGAAAAAATAGGTAAAAAGAGTAAGCAAATGGGGGCATTGCCTATGGCTCAGTGGGTAGGGCGCCAGCCCCATATATTAAGGGTGGCAGATTCAAATCCAGCCTAGGCCAAACTGCAACAAAAAAATAGCCAGGCATTGTGGCAGGTGCCTATGGTCCCAGCTACTTGGGAGACTGAGGCAAGAGAATCGCCTAAGCCCAGGAGTTGGAGGTTGCTGTGAGCTGTGATGCCACAGCACTCTAGTGAGGGTGATAAAGTGAGACTCTGTCCCCCTCGAAAAAAAGAGTAAGCAAATGTAGTAAAATCGTAACATTTGGGGTAATATTGTTTTTGAAATATTTTTGTTAAAACTATTTTAAAATTAAAACAAAGCTATCTTCATAGAATTTACCCTTTGAAATCTGCCACTTCTTAGAAATGTCCCCATAGATAAATTCCCATGTGTGAAATGGCAGGGCCACAGAGATGCTGGCTGCAGCATTAATCCTGTTAGCAAGTTCAGCACGGCTGAGGTATGGGACGTCTGGTGAGAACCAGAGGGTCAGACCTTGAGATTTGGGAAGGACTAGATTACAATAGGCCTTACCTGCCACAGAAGGGTTCTTGGCAGAAAAGAAAATAGCCTAGATGTGCTCTCATCATGGTCCAGTCAGCTCCCAGACAAGAAAAGGCTCTAGAGGACCTGACCCAGCCAGCTCATGCTGGGCATCAGCTGCACCACCATGAGGGAGAGGGTGACAAGGGCAAGTGCTGCTTTCTGCTAGCCAGGCCTGGGCAGTGCAGGTGGGATGATGTGGCCAGAAAGACATCTTTGGATTCTTCTGTGAGACTGGAGGATGCCTGCTGTAATCAGAAAACTCCAAGTACAGCAGCTGGAGGGGGTGTGCAGGCTCTTCTGGGGCAAAACCCACATGCTGGTTCCAACAAAGGGCTGGGCCTGGCCTGAAGCCTGCCAAGTATGCAGGTTCTAGACCAGATAACACACAGTGAGGGCAAAGTCAAGTCTCTTTAAATACAAATATTCAGAACTTCAATAACTGATTAGGGAGACACTCAGGTCTGGGCTTCAAGCTCATATGCTGACTCCCCAGCCAGAGAAGACTTTTACATGAAGTAAGCTGCCCAAGCCATTGTCTTACTTTTTGATACAGAATGTCTCACCAAATGGCCCCAGTTTTTGCTTTGTTTTGTGCATGTGTGCACACATATGTGTTGGGGAGGGGGTCACATTTGCACTCGGCAGTGAACCTAAATCCAAAGGAGGCTGATCTGCACCTGTTCATGATGGCAACTCAGTTGGTGGATCACGACGGAATGTCTCAACACAAGATACCCTGAACAAAAGGATGTCCAAACCTAAGGTGACCCAATTTTAACATTGGTAAAGCGGGACACCATTGACCCGGGGGTGGGGGGTGGGGGGTGGTGTTTTCCTTAATTAAAAATTTGGTCTATATGAAGCAATAAAAATTTTCATAGAATGCAAAAATAGTATTATAATATTTTTTTTAATTTTAACATAAGTACAATTTACAAATATACAT